TCGATGACATTTCTACTCCTTCCATCACCCCACTTTCCACCAGCACAATGCCTAGTAAATCTCCAAAGCCCAGCACATCCCAGCAGAGTTCTTCTCGCAAGAAGAAATTCCCGTGTGGGGTAATGTCTTGCTATGTGGACAAGCAGTCAATAGAAGCGGGCATATCGAAGCAAAAAAGAGCTTTGTTGGGGCCCTTGTTAAAGATGGCGTCAGTAGACAGACTTGCTACAGATGATCCCCGAAATTTCCCCAAAGCCGCCGGCGTAATAACATAGATAAAGAGCAGAGGCCGAAATCTAATAGCGTGGGATCACCTTCACGAGCCGAAGGATGCCTTTCCCTATCCCTATGGGGGAAATATGAAGCCCGGAATTGAGAAAGCTACAGAAATATTGTGCAGGGAGGGTCCCAGTAATCCTCCATCCTTCATTATACAGGACATTAAAACCAACGTACCCCTCGGACGTTGGCGTTACTGACCGAGATGGTCGTATGACGACAGTGATGGGGACAGGCAGCCTTGGACAATCCGTCGAGGTCCTTTCATCCGCATATTTCCGTCCAGTCTGTGAGTAGGGGAATCAACTTGAAAAATGTCTCTCAAGATAGCTAGTTTGAATGCGAGGGATTTGAGGGATCGGAGTAAGGCCGCCCGCCTGCTTCGGGATCTTTTATCGTTCGGCGTAGATGCTTCTGCGATCAAGCAGACGCACTTTGCTTGAGAAGATGATGCGCGTGTTTAGCGACTATATTGTCTATTCAGCATACGTGAACCAGCCGGCTAGAGGTGTTTCCCTGCTGGTTAAACGTACCCTGGATGCGAGGGTGGACCTTGTCCATGTCGATGCGGAGGGCGGTTGATCGTTGCTGATATTGCCGTGAACATTGGTTCGTTTCGGATCGTTGCGGTTTAAGCGCCCAACGATCAGGGGAAGCGTGTCTCGTTTTTTCGGCAGTTGGGGACGTTCCTGGTCGATTCTTCACGCTTAGTCTTAGTGGGGGATTGGAATGCCATCCTGAACCCCAAGATAGACAGGGGCGGGGAGCTAGCGGGAGGTCATTGGGTGATCTTAGCTTGGTTGATCTGATCACTGGTTAGGCTCTTCGGACCATAAACTCGTCTGTGCCTGGATAGCGTTAAATTCTAGGCCTATAATGGCTGGACACTGGAAGTTCAATCTATCTTTACAAGACAGGCGGGATTCCAGCAACATCTAATTAGACTACTGCAGCGGGAAGTAGTGGGGGCGGTTACTTGGAATAGGTGGTGGGAGAGGCTTAAGGATAGGATTAGGGACTTCACCACCGAATATAGCCAGCAGCTTGCACTAGATAAAGCTAAAAAGGTGAAGACACTTAAAGATGGCTGGGGGGATTTAAACTAGATGTCTAACGAAGCCGTGAACATGGTCGCACAATTGCGCAAGGAAGAGATCCGTCGAGGTTCCGATCCTTACATTCGTATACGTGTGCAACAATGTGTCGCCCGCGTATTCTGGAGTGAAACGAATGGTGTTTCTAACGTTGCTAGCCGTGGCAAGAACGGTGATATGGATGACGCGAAAGTAGGGGATCTTGCGACAAGAACGCTATTCTCATCAGGTTTTGATCAGATACTTTCAGCATCAGCTGAAAGTGAAGATCAGAACAGATAGAAAGCGTTTGTTGTCTACAGATTTCAACAAAAGGTTTGTAAAAGTAGCGAGCTTGGTTCGCGTGAAAGACGCTATCCTTGAGTCCCTTTTTAAAGTCCTCTTTCGTCATAACGGGGCTGTTTTCTTGCGACCCCCCCCCTGGTTAAGGTAGACACTCTTTTGTGTACCTAGTTAATGTGAGTGAGTGTCGTTCCTGGCCTGTTTCCAGCTCCTTACTTCTGTTATTGAGCCAAGTTGAGATTCCCAACCTCCCCAGTTTGTTTGGCCCCTTTTTTCATCTCAACTGGTTCAGTCTTTGATTTTCCCATGCACTACATTTATTTTTCACCTCCCCCATTCCGTTATAGAGTTAGCCTCACGATTCTGTCTGATGACAGAATACAGCGGCAACTCTGATTTTTGTGGGGTGGACGGGTCCTTCTAACATCAAATATTTTCTGTTAGTTTCTGTTTCATATATATATATATATATATATATATTTGTATTGAGATTTAGAAGCCTCCCCATCATTTCACATCGTCAGATTTATATATATATATATATATATATATATATATATATATATATATTATGAAAATTTGTACATAAGAAATTTTTAAATCATGGGGTTAATTTTAGGTTTTCTTTGTGAATGTGGTATTGTGGTATATGTAGGAGTAAAAGGTGAAGTGTGAATTGTTTCGGTGAATGGGTTATTTGTATTGAATGAATAGGTCGTGAATCGGGTTAGCTAGGTATAGGATAGGTAAGGATGACCAACCTCAAACCCACTCCCCACTTTTTAGGCCATGTGCCACAATTATTGTCTTCTACAATAATAAATATAACCCATCTATCTCACTCTGTTCATATTTATCTATCTATCTATCTCTGTTCATATCTATCTATCTATCTATCTATCTATCTATCTATCTATCTATCTATCTATCTATCTCACTCTGTTAATTATATATCTGTCTGTCTGTCTGTCTGTCTGTCTATCTATCTATCTATCTCAGTCTGTTCATATCTATCTATCTATCTATCTATCTATCTATCTACATGAGTCCCAGAGATTGGAACATTCACTAATAATCGGGATATAGATTGATTAAAGAAACTGAATTATAATTATTTTTATTATTGATTAAAAATGGCTTCCAAGAAGTGAAGACTTTAGAGAGGACCATACGTTTTCAAATTTTGTGAAATGGTGCTACACCCCCGCTCCCCACCCAAAAAAAGAGAGTCCGCTGTCGTCGGGATCATCGAACTATTGCGATTCGTTTCTCAGCAGCTTTGTATGTGTTCGCCACTGCTACATAGCTTTGATTTCAGAGTTTTTCTTCTCATAGACCGGTTCCCACCCAGGGTTATTGAATCCAGTCTGCCCTTCTATGAACCCATAGCTGGAGAGGCGGGGAGAGAAGAGATGTGCCTCTAAAATTGAATTCATAAGCTTCTACCAGCAAGGCTCAATTCAGACTGTCTCAAGTGAATCAATAAAATCTCTTCCATCTTTTACATACCTAGGAAGGGAGATAAATCCTGCTGAAAACGATGTAAAATTTCCCATAGCTTAAGCATGGGAAGGAGAGCACTTTAACCAAATTAGGACTTTCAGCATCAGTAACAATTAAAATGGATAGCGCGTGCAACTCGAGGATAGAGTAATAAAATAATTAATTTGTAGACATTACACAACGCTTCAAACAAAACGTTAATAAAGAAGTCATCATCACTACGTTAGCAGTAGACATAAAAAGCCTACTGTTTGGATAATCTCTATTTCTCATCTCTTTGTCGCTCACATTTATATCTCTTCATAATCAAAAGTAATTCTTACAACTTTCTGGGGTTTTACCATGTCGATAAGTCCACCTAATACTTCTATCTGTTTGGATCTCGCTTGAAAGAGAGATATTCGTTAGAGGCTTGTCCTGATGCTAATTTCCCCGAGAATGTTTAGACAGAATTTGATCTAACGTGTAATGAGTGTGGTCCCATCTGTCTATGTAGGGCAGGCTTAAAACTCATCGAAGACACCGCACACTCAGATAAGCCATTCACTACACGATATGCTGCAGACAGTAAACATATAAGGGCTGCGGTTGGTGGACTAAAACACCACATGAAACTTCAACAAAATATTAATGTAACAACTACTGAAAAAGACGTCCTAACATTGCCGCATCTAAACAAAAATGTATGTTTATCTGAATTTGATCATTATCTATCTATCTATCTATCTATCTATCTATCTATCTAAATTTGATCATTATCTATCTATCTATCTATCTATCTGAATTTGTTCATTATCTATCTGATTGTGATTATCTATCTATCTATCTATCTATTTGAATTTGATCATTATCTATCTATCTGAATTTGATCATTATCTATCTATCTGATTGTGATTATCTATCTATCTATCTATCTATCTATCTATCTATCTATCTATCTATCTATCTATCTATTTGAATTTGATCATTATCTATCTGAATTTGATCATTATCTATCTATCTGATTGTGATTATCTATCTATCTGAATTTGTGATTACCTATCTATCTATCTATCTATCTATCTATCTATCTGAGTTTGATCATTTTCTATCTGATTGTGATTATCTATCTATCTATCTATCTATCTATCTATCTGAGTTTGATCATTTTCTATCTATCTGAATTTGATCATTATCTATCTGATTGTGATTATCTATCTATCTCTCTATCTCTCTATCTATCTATCTATCTATCTGAATTTGATCATTATCTATCTGATTGTGATTATCTATCTATCTATCTCTCTATCTCTCTATCTCTCTATCTATCTATCTATCTGATTGTGATCATTATCTATCTATTTTACTTTTATATTTTTACATTTCCTGTTATTCTATGTCTTCTTTTACTTCTTGTTTGCCTTTCCTTCCTTCATGTATAAATTCTATTCATCGAATGCCTATGTACATCTTGTTTTCTTTAAAGCTTTCGGAAATATTTCTTATTTGCAATGGAAATTTCCTTGACTTTCTTTACCAGTCAATAACCCCAGAAGCGGTGTTTGCCACGAATCCACCAAAATAGCTCCCAACCAATTTTTACTCAATCTTCATCATCTCCCGGGGGTCGTTAATCGCTAGAACCTTTTGGATTGATGTCAGTGTTACAAAACAAAGTTTTTGTCAAAGTTTACAAATCAAAATCTAACACTGTTTCATTTACTAAGTTCACACACACACACACACACACACACACACACACACACACACACACACACACACACACACACACACACACACACACACATACGTGTATATATGTATGTATGTATATGTGCGTGTGTGAGTGTTTCGAAACAAAGATCATGATGACGAGTAAACGTTAAAATAAAATGCATAAACATAAAATGAGAGGAAATGGAAGAAGAGAGACAAATGAAAAGAGGAAAGGGAAGCAAGATTGCATGAAGATGAAAAAGAAGAAGAAGAAGAAGGAGGAGGAGGAGGAGGAGGACGAGAAGAAGAAGAAGAAGAAGAAGAAGAAGAAGAAGAAGAAGAAGAAGAAGAAGAAGAAGAAGAATTGTGTATTGGAAGTGAACTGAGCAAGGGCAAAAAGAAAAAAGTGATTCGAAGATAATACAAAGGGAGACAATCATGATAAGAAAGAAAGAAAGAAAGAAAGAAAGAAAGAAAGAAAGAAAAGTATAAAATGGAGACTGAAAAAGGAAAAGAATAAAAAAAAAAACTAATTAGTAGAGGAGAAAAGTAAGGAGGGGTAAGTAAGGAGTAAGTTAGAGAATCATGGCATTATAGAAGATACAAAATAAATAAGGAAAGAAAGAATGCAAGAAAGAAGAAAAAAGATTGAAAGAAGCAAGAAAGGAAAGATGTAAAGAAAGAAATTAAAGGAAAGAAGGAAATATTGAAATAAATAAATAAAAAAAGAATAGTGTAACAATGCAGGATAAGGAAAAGGAAAAAAACTGAGTAAAATTATTGGATATAGAGAAGAGAAAGTAAAGGGATTAGAAAGAGAATGATGAGAATAAACAAAGAAAGAAAGAAAGAAAGAATGGAAGGAAGACAGAAAGAAAGAAAGAAAGAAAGAAAGAAAGAAAGAATAGGAAACAAAATGGAAGGGGAAAATGGAAAATCAAGTCAAACTAAGTGGTAGAAGAAGATGAAAAGAAGGAAAAAAAAAATCCCGAAGAAATATTGATGACGAGTTTGAACAAAGCGTGTGAATGAAGGAAAAGAAAGAAAGAGAAAATAGAGCAGGAAATATGAGGTGGATGCAGTTAGGCGCACAGAAAATACAACAAAACACGCCAATTCGCATTGTGGGCTCATTTTTCTTACACACATTCCACGAGGTGAAGAGTGAAAATTACAAACATCGTAGTCCTCAGAAATGACGTCGCGGGTAACAAACATCAGAAGAATAATAAATTTAAAACAAAAACAAAACCTACCCACGCTTAACCAAATAAAAAGTTTGATCCTGAAATTACCTGAGATCGCCCAAAGACCATTGTTGAGGATAATTAGGAGACAGTGAGTTGACGTTTGGGAGTTTCATCAAACATTAGAATAAGAAGGAATAAACAAACGATTACGTATATCTAACACAGGACATAGTTTATTGGTCGAGCAAAAATCAATGGAAAGAAAAGAGGCAAAGTAAAGTGGGTACACTATTTATATTATTCGGACTATTGTCCTCATCTTTGACGCCATATTTATTACAACGTTTCGGCCTTTCAATATCTGTCTATATTTCTGAGATGAAGTATTATATACACTATTTACATTATTCGGACTATTGTCCTCATCTTTGTCGCCATATTTATTACAACGTTTCGGCCTTTCAATATCTGTCTATATTTCTGAGATGAAGTATTATATACACTATTTACATTATTCGGACTATTGTCCTCATCTTTGTCACCATATTTATTACAACGTTTCGGCCTTTCAATATCTGTCTATATTTCTCAGATGACGTATTATGTACACTATATTATTCGGACTATTGTTCTCATCTATGTCGCCATACTTATTAGAAAGTTTCGGCCTTTCAGTATCTGTCTATATTTCTCAGATGAGGTATTTTGTACACTATTTACATTATTCGGACTATTGTCCTCATCTTTGTCGCCATATATAGATGTCAGTTATCAGTTATCTCCTGTTAATTCCCTTCTGAAACATCTCCACTGCCTTAAACGGGTATTGAACTCACACTCTCTGGGTCCAATACCCGGTTAAGACAGTGGAGAACTTGAAGAGGAGAATTAACAAGAGATAACTGATTATTCATATCTATTAAACATGTCACGTGGAACCATTACAGTCTACCCCAGTGAACGAAATGAAGTGTTCAGTTTGAAATTCCAACCACCTGAAGAAGGCCGGAGCGTACATCGGCCGAAACCTTGTAAAGAATATGGCGACAAAGATGTGGACAATAATCCAAATAATGTAAATAGTGTATATAATACCTTAAAGTTGTAAATATATTAAGGTAAATAGCAGGGGCACCGGATCATATGTGGCAGCAATATTCTAAGCATGGATGAATGGTAGGTTTGTGGCACCCTGCATTATTAGAAAAAAGAAATATTCATAGAAATATGATTTAATTTTTTTATTCGGTTTATTAACTAGTTGTTGGTTTTTTTTAGACGAAGAATAATTGAGTTTCGAGAATAATTCTCTAATTGTACTTAGGCGATCCTAAGGGAAGAAAAAAAAGAAGGAAAAAAGAAAAAGAAAATGAGTAATGCAAAAGGCCGGTCATTAACGAAAACAGGTGTCAAAAAGGTATCTAGGCCAACGTGCCTGACCGAATTTTAAAAGACAATGGGAATTGTTATTTGGGAGAATAGAATCAAAAGAAAGAAAGAAAACAGGCTTGGTGAAAGTGTATGAACATATGTGCGATTGATAAAAATGTCGGTCAAAGCATCTGGCCTACTTTTGTGTATAAGACTCATTATCAATTTGGAGAAATGGGATTTTTTTAGAACAATGGGAAACGAAATATTAATCGGGGAAAGGTGTCTTTTGGGATGAGGAGGTGACCGCTGGAATTGTATACAGATTCTGACCTGTTAAAAATCAGAACTCCCACGATGATGAAGTGAAGACATTTTCAATTCAGATAATTAAGATTTTTGACTATCAGGTTTGAGCAAAAACAAAGAGGTGAAAAACAATTGTTTTTGGCTCACAGAAAGCGTCAGCAAGACGAAAAAATTCTTCCTGAAGTCACATCTAATTAGCGGCGGACTGTTTTGACAAGAACCAGGAAGGTGAGAAAGGCCAAGATTGTCATTTTTCGTGCGTGCGAAAAAGACCAAATTGGATTTTGTTTTTTTAGCAAGGTGTTCCTTCCCAGAACAAGGACGGGATAAGCCACGCCCGATTGGAGACGTCACGTAGTACGGGAGACGCCCAACCAGAATCTCATTAGCCGAAAGCGGTCACGGGATATGCGGGAAAGAGGAGAAAGGACGCTCGATCAAGAACCATTGGTCGAAAACGGTCACCTGACATACGAGAGACCGGGAGAGATGGGTATGCGCCTCCCCACCAGAGGCACTGTGAGGAAGTAGGGGTGAAAATAATAGCGATAATGGGAAATCAGAAATAATGCGACTTTTGGAATTGTCGAGAGGGCCCTGGCGCCGACAGACCCACCCCAGTTTGTTGCGGCGTCAATAAAAGCAGAACCCCAATCGACAAAAAATCAGTTCAGCCCCGGACGGCAGCGAGAAGGGTCCACCTCAGACGACAGAGAGTTGAGTTCAGCCCCGGACGACAGAGAGCCGAGTAGTTCCCCGGACGGCAGCGAGAAGGGTCCACCTCAGACAGGCAGTAAAGTTGCAGGCCAAACAAGCAAATCAGTTCAACCTCAGTCGACAGAAAAGAGTTGCAGGACGGAAGAAGAAGAAGTTGAAATCAAACCAAGCCCAAGAACAGAAATTCGACCAAACCAAATCGAAGTGAAGAAATACGTCCAACTCAAGCCGAAGAGAAGACTCAGCTGTGAACGACTGGTAGAGATTAGCCCCAGTGTCGAACTAGACCACACTCCGACATACACAATTCTGAAGAGTAGACAATTCAGAAGTCTTTAAGTTGTATGATAGAAGCTTGGTGCCACAGTCCACAAAGCGGGTCGGGGAAGTAAGAACAATTTTTATGTAACGAACATTAGATATAAAAGGTTGTTACCCTTTTTATCAGTAATTTTTTTGTCTCGTGAGTTTTTTTCTTTTACTTGTGTTTTGCCACCCCCGTCGGACTCAACTTGCATACGGCCCCAATCCCTGTTTGATCCCGTCTGTCTAAGATCTAATCACAACGTGGGTAGACAGACCGGAGATCAGTACAGTTACCCTAGTAACCAGGTGTTGGAAGCGGGTTGAGAAAGGCGAGGCTGGTAATCATCTAACCAAGGGGTTGGAACGGCACGCTTGGAACAGCGAAGAGCGACCAGGAGGAGCGACGTCACAGTTGGCGCCGTAACCAAAGGTTTCGACCCTGGACCAGGTGTCTCCGTCACAGGTTTATAGATCCGGACCAATAATATTGCTGATTCTTCTTTGGATCTTATTAAGGAGCTCAAGGTAAATAGCAGGAGCACCTGACCATATGTGGCAGCAATATTCTAAGCATGTATAAATGCTAGGTTTATAGATCCGGACCAATAATATTGCTGATTCTTCTTTGGATCTTATGAAGGTGCTCAAGGTAAATATCAGGAGTACCGGGCCATATGTGGCAGCAATATTCTAAGCATGGACAAATGGAAGATTTATAGAAATGTAAGATAAATTCTGGAGGGAAAAATTATCTCGCACGACGCAGCAAACCGATTTTCTAAGAACCTGACCTAGTAATGGATTCAATATATTCTTTTCAGTACATGTCAGCTGAGAACGTTACCCCGAGAAGACGCAATGTGTCCTTTTCCTGGAGGTTAGCATCAGCCATACTGATTGAAGGCAGAGAGTTATTTGTTGGTTAGGTTTTGATTCGTTAATTTGTTTCTTTTACGGCTTATCAATCATTTCTAAGTTATTTAAAGCCAGAAAGCGTTTTAAGGTTGTAAGAATTTTTTTTCAGATAGTAATACTATTAACTAATATATTGGGAGAGAGTAGGTGGATGCATATATTTCCCAAAGTCATTTGCCCGGAATTAAATATGAAGTACCCTAATGAATTTGAAACTCGCCTCTCCGATTTCCAATTTCGGGCTTTTGCCAATTACGCCACCTGCACAGCCAACCTTACAGGAACTGGTATATCCAAACGGTCACCAAACTCGGTATTGATCAGGTTCGACGTTGCTTAACATTGGTGATCACACGAGAACTGGTGTTTCAACGAGATATGGTCTGTTGCTTTGGCAGAATTAATAGCTATGCTTGTATGCAGTCAAGTAAGCATAGGACATTTTTATGCTGTGTATTATTTTGTGTTGTGTTCGATGTTACACAAAGTTAGCTGCGGTCTGGAAAGACCTTGTTTCTGAAACATCCTGTGAATAAAGAGAAAAACATAAAGAGTGAGTCTTTTGAAGCCTTAATGTTTATACTGCTTTGCGAAAGCCATCTAGCGGTCATAGCAGACGTTCTTTGATAGACAAATCGGGTAATCCCACACAAAAATAGCCAAAATGCTGCGATAAAAAAAAAAATAATTGAAGGTGTAAATCCAAAGAAATCCATCTATATTAACACCAAAATTTCTAGATATTTTCGGATCTGCACAGACCCCACATCCCGGTAAATAAAACACTGATTGCGAGGAAATGATTAGACGTGAAAAAATATTGAATGAAATAAATGGCTGGATGAAGAAAAAATAGTAAAATAGTGAAAGTAAAATAAAAAAAAATAGATAATTAATCAAAACTTCAGAAACTTCGACGTTAACAGTTTGAAATAAATATAAAAAGATTAACACGCACACACCCCGCATACACCTGCCGAATATGGCAGCAACACGCCATATGCGGTCTGATCTGACTTTTTTAACGATAAAGCATGGCAGATGGTGTCGGTGACTTTCTGAAGCGGATCGTGATCGGATGATTTATGAAGGTCTGAGATGGTCTGTTATATGCGAGCATACAGTTACGACGAAATTTTATTTGATGATAATTGCTTTCACACCATACGAGATCTGATCAAAAAGTATAAGGATTGGTGTTATAAAAAGAAAACTGCAACACATATCAATTCTGCAATTAATCTACTTCGAAGTAGTCACCTTCTGAAGCCACGCAATTTATCCAGCGTCGTTTCCGTTGAAGATGTCCGAATGC